CAACCTTTCTAATGCAGTGACCCCATAATACAGTTCCCCATGTTGTGGTGACCCCCAAGTGGGTGTGGCCACCAATAAGAGGGAGTAGGACAGCTAGGGAAAAGGGAAAAAAAATGGTGGACAGCATGGTTTGGCGACCCCCGTGAAATGGTCATTCGACCCCAAATGGGCTCCCGACCCACAGGTTGAGAACCACTGCTATAGAAGCTTCAGCAACATCTTTTTTCCCTGGTGCTTCCATGAAGACTGAATTTTCCTCACCCCCAGTCCATAAATGAAAAGAAGCTTCAACTGTCCTTAGAAGTTTGAATAACCCTGATATTGACCATCAGGCTGAAGGTGTATAAAATCAGCTGGGCTTTGCCACCTATTACCTTGGAAGGAAATCTGCATTGCCTGATAAAAAGCGGGGGGGAGACAGAAGATAGATTGCCTATGAGGATTGTAAACTTTCTATTGGTATAGTTATGCTGAATTGAGGATGGATGGACAGGACTTTATCTTGATAGTGGAGACATACCTTGAGATTTATATTCCACTCTACATGTTTTGTTGGAACTGAATAACACTATGAAAAGATGCTTGGGGGGAGGGGGTCACATGAGCTGACCTCTACTTCTTTATCCCAAAGCTCAATTTCTCGGATGCTTCAAAGGGCACTGCTGTGCCACACTGAAACCAAGGATTTTCAAGATTATATCACCTCAGTTTGATAGGAAACAGCCAAATGTTCTCATTTTTTTCTCTGTAAGGAATAAAAAAATGTATTAAGCTTAACAAAAGGTTTAATATGCCTATTTTGACTGTTAAACACCTTTTTTTCCCTCCTATTCTAAGGGTAGGCAACCTTGGCTCTTTTATGACTCGTGGACTTCAAGTCCCAGAATTCCTGAGCCAGCCATGCTGAGGGGAAAGTGAGAGGTTTCCAAGCTGAGCCATGCTGGCTCAGGAATTCTGGGAGTTGAAGTCCACGAGTCATAAAAGAGCCAAGGTTGCCTACCCCTGTCCTATTAAAACATGCCTGATTCTCGGAGCCTGTCTGGAGAAGTCCCTGCAGTTGTGTTGGCAAGGTTTTTCAGAAGTGTGGTTGCCCTTCCTTCCTTCCTAGGGCTGAGAGAAAGTGACTGGCCTAAAGTCAGTCAGCTGACTTCATGGCCAAGGCAGGTGTAGAACTCATGATGTTACCCTATTTAATACTCTTAAATTGGCAGCCTTCAATACCATTGACCATGGTATCCTTCTGGGATGGCTTCAGGGGTTGGGAGTAGGGGGCTTTTTGTTGTCCTGGTTCACTTCCTTCCTCTATGACTGATCTCAGTTTGTGTTGATGGGAAGCAAGAAGCTTAGCCTTTGTCCACTGCTTTGTGGGGTTCTGCAAGACTCGGTACTCTCTCTTCACTTCTGTTTAACATCTACATGAAGCCGTCAGGTGAGATTATCCACCACCACTGACACTTAGCTTTATGTCTCGGCCCATGGCGAGTTAAAACAGGGGTCTTCAAACTTGGCCCTTGCATGACTTGTGGACGTCAACTCCCAGAATTCCTCAGCCAGCATGCCTGGCTGAGGAATTCTGGGAGTTGAAGTCCACAAGTCATAAAAATGCCAAGTTTGAAGACCCCTGAGTTAAGAGATGCTGTGACCTTTTCACAGTGTTTTAAAGCTGTGAAGAGCTGGTGGGGAGCTGAAAGTGAACCCTGGCAAGGCAAAGTGAGGTTTTTTTGGTCCATATAGAATTGCCACCTTTGGTCTTGGATGGGGTGGCACTGCCCCAAACAGACCCAGTGCATAATCTGAAGGTTCTCCTGGGCTCATGATTCCTGCTTGAAGAGCTGGTGGCAGGAGGTCCTTTGTACTGGTGTGTGCCAGTTATGCCCTTTCCTGGAACAACAATCCCTGCTCACAGTCACTCATGCCCTAGTCACCTCCTGTCTTGACCACGGGATGCGTTCTACATGGAGCTGCCCATGTGAAGCACCCAGAAGCTTCAATTGGTTCAAAATGCAGTGGCCTGCATGGTTTTGTGCAGACCCAGGTGTGCACGTGTCACCTCTCCTGCAGGTGCTGCATTGACTGCCAATTTGCTTCGGATGCAATTCAAGATGTTGGTTATCACCTTTAAAGCCCTTCATGGCTTGGGACTAGGTTATCTGAGAGATCGTCTCTTCCCGGTTACATCCACCTGACCCATTAGAGTGGGGAGGCAAGGAATGTTGCGGATGCTGTCTCCTAAGGAAATACATCTGGCAGGACCCAGAAGAAGAGCCTTCTCCGTGGTGGCTCCCTCCCTTTGGAATATCATTCCTGCAGAGATTAGACTGGCCCCTCACTTTAAAATTATTTTACAAGCCTCCGAAGACCTGGTCCTGCCAACAGTCTGGGGAATACAGAGTGGGATGGAGCCCATCAAGTGACTTGTTTGATTGTGGGTTGTCTCCAGGGGGTGGGGGAATATTGTTTTTTATTCTTTTATACTGGGTTTTTCTTGTTTGTAAGCCATCCTGAGTCACTAAGAGTGAGTGGGCGGTCATATAAATCTTCTAAATATCTATTTGTAGATTTACTTTTAAATCTATTTATACATCCATATCACCCTTAGAGAACAGATTCCCACAATGGAAGAATGGATGATGGAGGTAATGTATTGACCATAACTGTTTTAAATCACTTTCTTAATGTCTGACCTACATTGCTGTATTATTTAACAGTTACTGTTACTGAAAGCCAGACTGGCTGTCTCCAAGCTGATAATGAGGTTTGGGGTGGGAAACTGTTACTTTAAACCACAGGTCGGCAACCTGCGGCTCCGGAGCCGCATGCGGCTCTTTGAGCCTTCCCCTGTGGCTCCCAGCCTCTTCTGCCTTTGCAGAGAGAGACAGAGACAGAGAGAGGCAATTGCGCTTCCCTGCCTCTCTCTCTCTCTCTCTCTCTCTCTGTGTGTGTGTAAAAGAGAGCACTCACAGTGTTCTCCGAGCTGAAAAGCTTACTGGGCGGAGCTCCTCCCTTTGCTGCGTTTCTGCAGGAAGCAGGAAGCAGGAAGGGCAGGAGAGAGAGAGAGAGAGAGAGAGAGAGAGAGAGAGAGAGAATCAGCTAGGCTGACTCAGGAATTCTGGGAGTTGAAGTCCATGAGTCATAAAAGAGACGAGGTTGCTTACCCCTGAGCTTGTTGGACAACAGCTTGAAGCTTGCCAGGTGAGCAGCAGATAGGAGGGGGGGAGAAAGAGAGAGAGAGAAAGAGAGAGAGAGAGAGGGAGGGAGGGAGAGAGAGAGAGAGAGAAAGAAAGAGAGTGGGGGAAGAGGAGTGGCAGACCAAGGGCAGATAGGGAGGGAGGGAGGGAGGGAGGGAGACAGAGAGAGAGAGATCCTTTTGACATCTAAAATGAAGATAACACTGCATATATCCTTTTTTTACCTCTGTGTGTATGTAATTTTATTCTCTTAAAGCATTCTCTTGGTGATCATTGTTTTAATAGTATGGATATTCCCAAGAGTCATATTTTTACTTTTATTTTTAATGTGTGTGTGTGTGTATATGTATACACACACACACACACACACACACACACACACCTATAATAAAGGTAAAAAAGGATATATGCAGTGTTATCTTCATTTTAGATATCAAAAGGGCTTTGTGGCTCCCGGTGTTTTGTTTTTGGTGGGAAAGGGTCCAAGTGGCTCTTTGAGTGTTTTGGGTTGCCTACCCCTGCTTTAAACCTATTGGTTGCTACCTAGAGGCTAACTGTATAAATAGCTGTGCAACAGGCTTTAGGGCTGCTTCTGTTCTGAGTTAATAAATTTGTTGTTTCAACACTGCCTCATTCAATGCCTAAAGAACCGAAGATACAACAATGGAGTTAATGGAATTGGCTGTAATGGCAAAACTAACTACCTCGATTGAAGGAAAGCTTTGTGTTTCCTCATGGAAACCACATTTGGACATTTTTTGATAGAAACCAAAAGAAATGCTGTATTAATTTTGTGACTTGATATGTTTACGATTATAGAAATACAAGGGATTATTGAATTTTAGATCTAAAAATTCATATTGAAAAAAGTTGGAAGCTAACCAGAATCATTGCGGTCCAAGAATCTAATGAGGACCAGGAATACTTTTGAAACATGCATACAATATTCATATATTACTTGTATATAATTACAGCAATACCGTCCTCATGCTTTTCAACTTTCCCAGTGTCTTAGCACACCAAGGCAAAACATTAGAAGGGACTAGAGCAGGGGACCCCAACCCTTGGTCCGTGGACCAGTACCAGGCCGTGCCATGCCAGCAACTGGTCCGCACAAACAAGCAAAGTCCCATCCGTGGGATGCCAGGCAGCACACAAAAGCACACACCCTCTGTTCTGCTGGTCCATGGTGCCCAAAAGGTTGGGGACTTCTAGACTAGAGCCCTTGACTACCAACATATGCTTCTTAGGTATCAGCCCAAATCAAGAGGGCTGATAGAAACTGAAACTTTGATAGTGACTTAAAATCTTAAAATAGGTTAACCAATAACCACAGACTTTGAATTGCTCATTGCATCGATGATCACTAACAGTGATTATCAATGAAAGCAATAGTTTTCCAAATCCAGATAAGTGGTAATACATCAACATACAGCAGGGGTCTTCACACTTGGCCCTTTTATGACTTGTGGACTTCAGCTCCCAGAATTCCTCAGCCATAGTTGTTAAAGTTGAGAAACACTGGCCTAACGTGTTCCGGGAGAGCTACTACTAGATTGCATGCCTTGCTAATACAGTCCGAAAAAGAACAACATTCCTACACTTAATCCTTCCAACTGTTCTTTCCCCGCAAATCAACACGGACCTTAGCAATGCAGTTTTTCTGCTACTTCAGAGCCAGACGCCTCCATCCCGCTCAGCTGCAGATGCTATCTTTGCACTGCCAGGCTATTGGCGAGATTATGACATGCTGTGGCGCGGCGATTCCAAACAATACGGCAAAGTTTGCCGCTTGACAATTAGGGAGTTTCCAGTAGGGGACGCTATGACCGTATCATCGTGCGCCGGCGCCTTCCACTGCTACCGCCACCATGGAATCCAACAGGGACGAAGCGGAGCGTTGTATTGCTATCGCGGTAGCCGCAATCAAGGCCAATCAGACTGAGAAGGCCCGCCGTTTCCTGGAGAAGGCCCAGCGGCTGTACCCGTCTCAGCGGGTCCGCGGTGAGCGGGACTCAGGGAGGGGGGAGGCCCAGATGACTGAGGCCTGGGGTAGCCGGTCTGACCTCTCACCCGTATTGCGCGTGAGCAGAAGCGAGGGTGGCGTGAGGCACCTTGGGACTTGAAGTCCCCTCGCTCGCTGGGAAAGAAACCACGCAAGTTGTGAAGGGGGTCTTCGAGGGAACGTTCACGGCCGGCGCAGGGGACAAGGGGAAACCCGACTCAGTGAGCGGGGTTTATGTTGTGCGCGAAGAGACCGGGATGGTTATCTTCCATGAGCTGAACTGCGAGACTACAACTCCCAGCGAGCATTGCGCCGAGGATGAAGGGGGCAACCCCGCACCTGAGTGATAGGTGATGGCCCCTGGAGTATTTCCCTTTGCCCCCAATTGCAGTTTCCCCCCTGCCGGTCGGTGTCCCTTCTCCTTCTCCCCCTCCTGCCATCTTCAGGCTTCCTTCCTGCTTTGGGACAGGCGCGGTTTAAGCATTCTTCTCTCTCCCTTCGGCCTTCTCTGCTGGGGATCTGCGACCCACTTTTGCCAGCCCCTTCCCTAGATCCGCTTGTAGGTCTGTGGTCGCTCTTGCCCCCCCTTTAGCCTCGGCCCTGGCTCCCAGGAGCCTTTCAGTTGATCTGGGCCAAGCTCTGGGCCTGCTGGGCATTGGCCGGGGCAGTTGGGTGGACAGCAGCCAAGGGAAGACCCTCTCCAGTTGGGTTGGATCCCTGGCGGACGCATCGGTGTAATTTTCATGGTTAACAGTACGGAAACCGTTCGCTGTTCCCTTCTCCCGAGGTATTTTTTGAATATCCCTCTGTAGCCTACAGCTGTTTTCCTACTCTTCTATCCAAGCAGAGGTGTCTCAACTGTACGAAAGTTTCAGGGTTACCAAGATTGGCTAGATGCTGCCCTCCCCATACACACACTAAGTGGGCTAATGGGAACTGGGGTTCAAAAATTTGTGCTCAGTTGCCTGGCCCTGCTTAGATTTCATCACTGTAATCTCTCCCTCCCACACTTGAGTGTCCTTCTCATCCCACTCGGGAAGTATTGGAACCAGCAACACCAGTCAACCTAATTGGGCTTTCGGTATCTCAAACAATATATTGTACTTTTGAGTACATGATGTTACAGATAATTGTAGGGAGCTATTGCTTGTGCGCTCCCCAGAGACAATTTGAAGGATGCTGGAATATTTTGACTCTCCATTTGTAAGCAGCCTAGATTTGTGAAGATGCCGTAGATGGATTTCAAATAAATACATTATTTTGTTCCAAAGTTTAAATAGATGTTCTGATGTGCTGCTTCCTTTCAATCCTTTACTTCACTGCTTCAGTCCTCTATGCAGATTGAATAGCAGAATAAGAGAGTTGGAAGGGACCTTGGAGGTCTTCTAGTCCAACCCCCTGTTCAAGCAGGTGACCCTGTACTGTTTCAGACAAATGGCTGTTTATTCTTTTCTTAAAAGCCTTCAGTGATTGACGACCCACAACCTCTGAATGTAACACTATTTAATAGTGTCTAGTGACACCATTTCTGCCTTACCTTCCCTCTTTCCCATCTTCTTTGACTTTTCTGCTTAATTATTCATTTTTCACTGACTTCTCGGAGCACAGTTATTTTTTGGCCCCCACCCCTCAACTAAAGGGCCCTTGCTGCAAGTTCTTAGTTCTTTAAATAAAGCTTGCTGTCATAACAGTGATAAATGCAGACTTACATAACTCTGATTAACAGCTATAATAGAAAAATTAAAAATATTGTAGCCTTTTAACCTTTGAAGCCTTTTATAATTAAACCAAATACCATTATATCAGAAAATATTTAAATGCATTGTATAAATGCTGCCTTTCGACTTCTCAGATACCTCAGGAAGGATAGTGATCACTGCCTCCAGAAAAGGGCCTGTGCTCTGAATAGTTATTCTTTTTTTGTTAGATTTATATTCTGCCTTTAGTTCAAGAACTGAAGTTGATATACAGTGCCCTGTGAGATAGGTCTCTGACAGCAAGACATTGATTGGCATAGATCAGTCAATGAGCTTCTGTGGTTAAGGGTGGACTAGAACTTGGATCCCACTTTAACCTCTAATCACATGGGCTTATATATGGATGTTTTTTTGTCCACTGGTATTTGCAAGAGCAATTAGATTTGGCTGTTATAACTCTTTAAAAAAAACTGAAGGCTGCTAATCCAACAATTTATTTTATTTATTTACCTAATGAGTTGGGGATCAGACTGGTTATGTTTTCTAGTCAGTTACTTTGAAATACATGATCACTTCTATTTTCACTTTAATTACATTTTTTTCTTTCCTCTTGTACCTTCCTTATTCCCTTTAAATACTTACCCAAAAGAGAGTGATTTGGTGAAAAACCCATCAAGAAAAATACTCCTGTCACCTTTCCACTTGCAGTTATGAAAGAAGGCTCATCTACATGCAGAATTATGTGCATTTACAAATTGTACTTGGATTGGGTGTAAATAAAGTAGGAAGACACTGTGAATGACTGCATTCTCTTTGTGAATGTTCATGGTATAATGATTGTAGGATTTGATGGTTGAGGGTTTTGTGCTGATTTTTTGGAAGAAAATATTTTATTTTAGGAATTCAGGAGAGCTGTAGTCTCTAAAAAGGATGATAGCTCATTGAAATGAATTTTAATTGATGTGCTTTGAATGTCATAAGCATATGCTGCTATTCTGCCTTAGATTCCTCCTCCTCCAATTATTATTACTGTTTTCTAGCATATTTTTTAAACATGCAGTTTTATATTGATTTTTGCCTAATTGAGAATTGCTCAGTTGGCAAAACAGCTATCAAACATCTGGAAGGCTTTAATAAGATACTTTTATTCTGTAGAGATATGTTGTTCTGAATAAACAAAACCAGAGTTGAAACTTTTGGAAGTAACACGTAGTACAAAGAGATTTAAAGCAATCTGATTAATCCCTTGCATAATACATTATTAGAGGATGTTTAGAATTAGGTTATTTAAAATCACTTTCTAAGGATATGAAAACTCCTGCATTGGCCTGTTAATTTAAACTTTTTTGGGTGCTATTTCCAATTATTGATGTTAAAAAAGCTTGTAGAATCTGGCACAACCAGAATTGCCTGTAGTAATGATTACACTGCTTGGACAGGTTTCCATTCCAGGTATTCTAATTTCTAGTTATTTAAGGTTGTACAGATTAATATCAAAATTTGAAACCTGCCCGTTTCCAAATCAACAGGCAGCACAGTATTTTCAGGAGACATGTTGTGGCAATGGCTGAATTTCACGAACCAGTATTCTTGCTATTTCTCATTGTGCTACAGATAGTCCTCAACTTACAACAGTTTGTTTAATGACTGTTTGAAGTTACAACGGCACTGGAAACAGTGACTTATGACCATTTTTCACACTTATAACAGTTGCAACATTCCCGTGGTCGTATGATCAACATTCAGATGCTTGGCAACTGACTCATATTTATGACGGTCGCGGTGTCCCAGGGTCATGGGATCACCTTTTGCGAATGTCTGACAAGCAAAGTCAATGGGGAAGCCAGATTCACTTAAATAATCATTTTATTCACTTAATTAACCACTGCAGTGATTCACTTAACAACTGTGGCAAGAAAGGTTGTAAAATGGCAAAAACTCAGTAAATGTCTCACTTAGCAACTGAAATGTTGGGCTCAATTGTCCTAACTCGAGGATTATGTGTAATTGTAACTTCTAGATCAGAGGTCTTCAGACTTGGCCCTTTTATGACTGGTGGACTTCAACTCCCAGAATTCCTCAGCCAACATGCCTGGCTGAGGAATTCTGGGAGTTGAAGGCCACCAGTCATAAAAGGGCCAAATTTGAGGACCCCTGTTCTAGGCCATACTTAAGAACGGTCTCACGTACAATCCTTAGCAATTGAAGCATCACTGAGTCTCAGCTGTCCCTTTTATGGAATGGCAATAAAAAGAAGGGAAAATGTGTTTCTGGCCAGTTCATCTTATTAGCCCTCATCGAGCCTGTCAGACACTGACTGTCAACATACAAGGCCTCTTCTGTTTCGTATACAGGTAGTCCTTGAGTTACAACCATTCGTTCTGCAAAGGTCCAGACTGGATGTGCTTGGTCAGCAATGGGGACAAGAGAATGGTGAAGATCAGCTGAGGTGGCAGAGCACAGGGAGGCATGAGTCTCGGAGTGTAGGGTGTCAAGGGGGGCTGCGTCGGACTTTTTGCACTATGGGGCTGGGCTGGGGTAGCCAGGGCTTCCTAGAACAGCTGCAACTTCACATTGCACTGCGGCTTTGAGGCTTCTTGTCGCTCCAAAGCTATAGTTTGCCAAGAAGCTCCTGGGCCTCAGTGAGGCAAGCAGCCCCTGAGCCAGGTGGTTTTTGGGGCTGCTTGCTTCCCCTAAGGGGTGTGGGGTGACCAAAAAGGACAGAGATGGGGTGAATAAGCAATTGAGGGGAGTTGAAGGGGAGGCAGTCCCTTATCTTGAAAGAACTGAGGCTCAAGGCCAAGAGGGTTCAAGCCAGAAATGGCTTTGATTGGCGTGGATCCTTGGCTAATGACCAGTGGGATTTGGTTAATGACAGCAGTGGGGAGTGCCAGAATCATTGTCACCATGCTTTGCAGTCATGTGATGTCACGTTTTATGACTGTATCACTTAACGATGGGAATTCCGATCCTAATTGCCATTATAACTTGAGGACTATGTGCCTATATCAGGAAGAAGTAGAGCAGTGTTTCTCAACCTTGACCGTTTTAAGGCCTGTGGACTTCAACTCCCAGAATTCCACAGCCAGCATTGCTGGCTGTGGAATTCTGGGAGTTGAAGTCCACAGGCCTTAAAACGGTCAAGGTTGAGAAACCCTGAAGTAGAGGATTCTTATGAAAGAGAGCTCCAGATCTCTTAATGACTGTTTCCATCAGGTTCATACGGGTAATTAAATAGCTTTACAGACAAGGTGGCATTTTGTGGCCACCAATCTAAAACTAATGATTTTAAAATGGTGCTCTAAATCCTCAATTCATAGAAATGGTTCATTTACACGCCATGGGTAAATGCTATAAAAAGTTGCTGAGAATTTGAGTTCTAATAAATGAGAGCCAGTCAGGGCCAGTTTAATCTCAAAGCGAAGCCTGAATTCCAACTAAAATTGCTCTGGAAAATTCCTTTCCAAGAGTGGATTGATTCTTTCTACTCGCAGGTTACTCAAGGCAGCGTCACAACAGAAACAGAGTGATAGCACATAAATATAGATGCATAAGATGTATGGCTGTGAAAGTTGGACCATGAGAAAAGCTGAGGGCCAAAGAATTGAGGCTTTGAACTATGGTGCTGGAGAAGACTCCTGCGAGTCCCTTGGACTGCAAGGCGTTCAAATCGGTCAGTCCTAGAAGAGATCAATCCTGACTGCTCTTTAGAAGGCCAGATCCTGAAGTTGAAACTCAAGTACTTTGGTCACCTAATGAGAAGGAAGGACTGACTGGAGAAGGGCCTAATGTGGGAAAGATTGAGGGCAATAGAAGAAGGGGATGACAGAGAATGAGATGGCTGGATGGAGTCACTGAAGCAGTAGGTGTGAACTTAAATGGACTCCAGAAGATGGTAGAGGACAGGAAGGCCTGGAGGAACGTTGTCCATGGGGTCGCGATGGGTCGGACACGACTTCGCAATTAACAACAACAAGATGTTTATGGATAATAACTGAGAACATCATCTTTTTTCTCACAGCCTAAACACAGTTACCTCCCTAGCCTGTGAACTGGGAACCACTGGTAAAGAAGGATCTTATTTCCTTCCCAAACTTAAAGCATAAAACTATGTTATTCTTTTAGGAAAAGTAAGAAAGTGGCAACCTTCCCCCCCCCCATGGCATTATGCCACCTTTAGCTGATTTGTATATATGCTTGTTGTTTTGTAAACTACCGAGTAACATATCTTGCTGGAAATGTTGTTGAATAGCTCTTTGAAGTATGATAATACACACAGTAGTGCAGTGAAAACAGTAAGTACCAAAATAATCCAAGCATAATACAAAACAGTGTCAGTTATTTCAAACTACCATAGGAGAATTGCTGTAGACAAATCAAGTTCTGCACAGCTTGTGGTTCCATCTGTTTTTTTTATCATAAGATAGATTTGTTGGGAAAAGTCATGAGGGCTAAGTGCATTTTATATAGTTTCACTCCCTTTAGCCAGGGAGCGTTGTCAATGGTAAAGTATGTTGGAATTGTAATTCAGAAGCATATAGACAACTGTTGGCTTCTCTATCCTGCCATAGTATCCACCCAGTAAGGTGGATGTGATCATAATTCTGTTGGAAGGATTAATGATAAATAGATTGCATATAGTAGGCTCCTTAAATTCAAAACTTACCACTTAGTTTAAGTGGATCAAGTGGGAAAAATACTCTTTCTCAAACTCTGGAAAATCATAGCCATCCAAATTGACAAAACTAGGTGATCTGTCTCCAAATAAAGCCATTTCATCTAGACTGGCTAGGATTTTGGTTTATATGTTAACCAGGGCCATGATTATTGTCGTTTGCCAATTAGTAGGGGAAATGAATTTTTAAAATTGTTTTCATTGTTGTCTTTGGTTTTGGCTCTGCAAGAATATTAACATTATGGCAAAGCTGGATCAGATAGGGCTGTTATAAACTCTTGAGATTCATGTTCTTTGCCAAAGTGGAATTAAATTACTATGTAATGACTATTACACCTGGTCTTTGTACATTTCGAGAGCTGGTAGCCACTGAGGTTTTGGAAATGGATGTAACTAATATTCCCTCCTGCGATTACTCCATTATATACGCTCTCTTTTCCCCCTTTATTTTAGATATTCCATATGTAGCCTGTAAAAATCCAGAAAAACCTCTAGAATGATAGCAAAGTGATAGAGAAGACTCATTGTTGCTTTCTAGTGGTCATCCAGATTTTTGCCACCCAGATAAGTGTCTTCTGTATTCCTCTAACCATTTCTATGGAATTGAAACATTCGTTTACAAGGTTTACTCATAACATTAAGCCAAAATGTAATTAGTTTCTGATGTGAGGGGAATTCACTCTTGATAGTTTAGTGTTACAAGTTAGCCAAATCATGGTTTGTTCAAAGAAATGTGATTTAAAAGATCCCGATGACTGTTACATATGAACACCACATAATTCTTGGCATGAAGTAGGATAAGTGAGGATCTTACCAGCTGTATTAATTTAGGTATTGTTTGTTGGTGAATGCTAGTTGCTTATTCTGATTTCCTATTTTTTTAGTATGCAGTGTTTTTTTATTGATTTAAAAATTTATGTTACTTATCCTAAACACATTTTTAGCAGCTAACACCCTATCCACAGAAACCCCAATGTAGTAAAAATCACATAAAATTCTAGGCACAGCAAAAATACTCATAAGGATTAAATGACTATATTTTGCCATTGTATAATATAATTGTATAATATTAATATTATGCAGATTTTTACACTTGCTCCTCAAAAAGAAATGGAAAAACTGCTGGAGTCTTCTTTTTTTTTTTAACAAAATTTTATTAAGTTTATATAGATGAGGAAAAATAGGAACAATACAGGTATGATAAAGGGAGGGGTGGAAGGAAAGGGGAAGGGAATAAGGCATTAGGGTAAAATAAGGATAGGTACAATCACATATTTCAATTAACAAGCTACCGTCCGGATCATAATAATGAGTAAATATCATATTCAACCCTTTTTACCAAAGCTTAGACTATAACATACTAAAAACAATTAGTAAACAAATACGTTGATCTATTAAGTAAACACTACTAATAAAATCTCAAAAAATCCTAACAATCAAAAGTAATAAATGAGAATCAGTAAATCAGGAAACATAATCATATCATCAAAATGCTAGTTAGAACTCGATTAAAAATCAGTCATCTATTCTAAAATATTGACTCCTTCAAGTTCTAACGTGTCTCTAACCATTGATAAAATTTTTCCCAAGTTCTAAAATAAATTGAATCATCTTTTTCTTTCATTTCTAATGTTAGTCTATCCATTTCTGCACACTCTAAAATTTTAGTAATTATAATCTGGCCAGATGGTAAATTCTCATTTTTCCAAAATTGGGCAAATACTATTCTTGCAGCTGTTAAAACATGCAATATCAAGTAGTCATTCTCTTTACCATAATTAGGTCTTAATATTCCTAACAAAAACAATTCCGGTTTAAATTCTATCTGTAGTTTCATCATCTTTTCCAACCATCTATGTATCTTAGACCAATATTTTTTAGCGATAGGGCATATCCACCAGGCATGGTAATAAGTGCCTGGCTGTTGTTTACATTTCCAGCAAATATCGGAAACATTTTTAAACATTTTCACTAAGCGAACTGGTGTCATATGCCATCTATAAAACATCTTATATAAATTTTCTTTATATGCTACCGCTTTTGTAAGCTTAATATTTTTATCCCAAAGTTTTTGCCAGTCTTCCAAATCTATAGAATGTCCAAAGTTCTTTGCCCATACTATCATTGTTTCTTTCACTTGTTCTTTTTCCATCTTCCAGTTTAAAAGAAATTTATAGAGTTTTCTAATCAAATTCTCATCTGTTTTTAACAAAATTTTATCTAAGGGGTCTGTTCTTTGTAAAAACCTGTCGATTTTATATCTTTTTCGTATCTTGTTTGAATTTGCAAATAGGCCCACCATGTCGTCAATACCTTGTAATTGTAAAGTTTGCCTGTCCTTAAGTTTTCCCTCTTTGCTAAAATGTCTTTATAACTAACCAGTTTGTCATAATTAATCAGATTTGGATAAGCAAATGCTGCCATTGTTGAAAGCCACTCAGGTATTTTCATATATATTTTATGTTTAATTTTCTCCCATTCTGAAAGTAGTACGTTTCTTATCGCATGATTTTGAAAGTACTTATGTGCTTTAGATTTCTCGTCCCATATAAAAGCATGCCAACCTAACTGAAGGTCGTGTCCCTCTAAGTAAAGCAATTTTTTATTTCTCAATACAATCCATTCTTTAAGCCAAAGCAAAATAGCCGCTTGATAGTAAAGTCTCCAATCTGGAAGTCCAAAGCACCCTCTATCCTTAGATTCTTGTAATAATTTACATTTGATTCTCGCTTTCTTTTTTTGCCATATAAATCTTAAAATCATTGCATTTAAATCATCAAAAAAATTCTTAGTACTGCTGGAGTCTTCTGAATGAAACCAAACAAAAGCTTAAGGAACAATTGATTGGTTGCAATGAAAAGATTTGTCACTATATTACACGTATTAAGTGACACTCTTTCTGTTTGGGCATCAGTAACTCGGCCAGCCTGGTGTTATTTGGCATTTGGCAATGATGGAGGGGGGGTGGGGGGGGAACATAAATTTGCGAAAATGGAACCACTGGGTCAATGCTGAACGGTTTTCCTTGTAGCGCTGTTGGACTCACTCACCAAGAACAAGCAGTCAGCTGATGACCATTCTCAGCCCAAGGAATCGTCCAACCTCGGCAGTCAAAAAAGGACCGAGGATTTTGCTTCGGCCAACGGAGAAGCAGGGGGTGATACCAGCAAAGGTTACACTCAGGATCAAGTGGACGCTGTGAAGAGGTAAGCCTTAGTTAAGATTCTGACCAACAGACCACAGTTAAAATCACAGAACAACTTGTTGGTCATAGTTGGAAGAGCAACTATGGGATGTAGCCAGTGGTGGGATTCAAATATGTGAACAACCGGTTCTCTGTGTGGATGCCGCTTCCAGAAGTCCATTTTGGGCCTGGGCAACAAAAAATTAGCTACCAGTTCTGCCGAACTGGTGCAAACTGGCTGAATACCATCACTGGATGTAGCGGCGATCTCATAGAACAGAATACTTTATTCGGCCAAGTGTGATTAGACACACAAGGAATTTGTCTCCAGTGCAAAAGCTTTCAGTGTACATACAAAACAACAGAGTGATAATAATGATAATAATGATACCAATAAGCGAAGGTAATAGAAAAGATGAGACGGATAAAATGCAGCCATACTAAATGGGTACAATAGGCAGTACTGCAGGTTGATCAATAGCAGCCTCAGTCCTTGGGGAAGGGTCAGAAGACATCTAACAGGATGTGTTTTCTAAGTAGGGGAAGACCAAGACCAAGATGGATAAAGACCAACTGGTTCAGTGTTTGTTCCTTGAAAATGATTTGTTTGGCTTCTTATAATTTGCTTTTTAAATTACAATGAATGTGGCCTGAAGTGGAAAGATACATAACTGTTAAATAGGACAATAATTTTAGTGGTCTTTTAATCTAGATTTTGGAATTTTTTTTTATGTCTGAAGGTTTTTTGTTTGTTTGTTTGTTTTAAAAAAAGCCTTCCTCTTCTGTTTATATTTAGTCTGCAGAGTTCTTATCTTTAAAGCAATATAGGTGTGTGCCACTTGGAGGCACCATTTCATAGGATTGAATAGATTGTCAGATGAGGTGTTTTTGTCTTTCCAACTTTTAGGGTGAAACAATGCAAAGACTATTACGAAATTCTGGGTGTCAACAGGGATGCCTCTGATGAGGATCTGAAAAAGGCCTACCGGAAATTAGCTCTAAAATTTCATCCTGATAAAAATCATGCACCAGGTGCCACGGAAGCATTTAAAGGTAAAAATCCCCCCCTTTTTTTCAAAAAACATATCTTTACACCTTGAAAATTGTACCTTTTTAGTGATAGAAGTCCACCAAAGGCAGCTGTTGTTCGTTTGTAATCATTAAAAAGAAATAGAAACAGTACAATAAATTGCCCCTTGCTATGTTAAATGCTCTTAAAAATCAAGTAAGAACCAGGGGTGCAAAAATGGGCCATGCTGCAAGGTGCAAACATGGCTGCCGCCGCGCCACATGGTGCAGATACAAGGCACTGCACCACGCAAGAACGGGGCAGGGCTAGTGAGTATCACACAGGCACTAGCCTTGCCCCATTTGCAGCATGTAAAATGCTTCCCCCTCCCTTTTCTTCCAGTCTGCCAATCGACAATGGTTGGTGACCTCTGCTCTACCACCTCTACTCGAGCTTGCTAGTTGGCCACTTCGCCTCCTTTGTGCTGGGTGGGGCTTCTGCTCCGGGTGGTGGTGGCAGCCTGATGGATCTGCTGCTGGTGACAGCGGCGCGTGTGCCAACAGAGAGGGCTCTGAGTGCCGCCTCTGGCATGTAAGCCATAGGTTCGCCACCACTGACATAGCATATGAATGGGTGGGTGGTGTTTATTATAATCCCTAGTAATTTGGTGCATAAATAATTTAAATGAAGAGTTGGACTTATCTATAGGTGCTTAAAAGAAACATATACCCAACTGTTTAAAAGTTTCAGTTCAGTTCAGGCTGGCACATGAAGACTGCAATCCAATACCCTCTTTTCCATGAGTAAGCTCCATTGCAATTGATATGTCTTCCTTCTAAAGAGATGACGAAGGACACCATGTATGGCTACAGTCTTAGATGCATTTATATTTGCAAGTATGGGGTCCCGAATGTACGTGTCATAATGTGTCACTCAATCTGTCACTGTATCCTGATCCCATGGAATTTTTTTGCCTGAAAAGTTACACGTGAGATTTTAGTGCAAACTCCTTGATTTTGCTGTGGCAGTTAAGATTATGCCTAAATATTAAAATGCTGAAATGATCTCTCTGTGATCTTTATACTTAATTAGTGCCATGGGTTGCAACTAGAAATTAGTAATTAAAATAAATAAATAAGTAATTAAAATAAATACATTTGATGAACTCCGGGATATAAAATAGCCTTCTTTATTACTGAGCTTTCGTCAACTAGCTGTTGACATCATCAGAGTAAGGGCTGAAGATTAGGAGAACCTATACATACACTTGTGTGACTGTTATAATGGTCAAAATATAGAATGTACATATGGCATGCTCATAACCCGCTCGCTTGCGGGATTTTTAGATCCCAGCCAAAGACCGGCTTTTAAATCAAAGCTGGAATCATTGGGATTAAATGCGAGCGAGCGGGTTGTGAGCATGCCATATGTACATTCTATATTTTGACCGTTATAACGGTCATACAAGTGTATGTATAGGTTCTCCTAATCTTCAGCCCTTACACTGATGATGTCAACAGCTAGTTGATGAAAGCTCAGTAATAAAGAAGGCTATTTTATATCCCAGAGTTCATCAATTTTATTTATTTTAAAATATCTACACCTAGGATTCCAGTAGTGGTGTGTATATCCAACACACCTTCCTCCTCCTTTTTTCCCCACAACAACCAACAACATGATGCTGAAAGAGGGTGACTGGCCCAAACTCACCCAGCTGGCTCTCATGGCTAAAGCAAGAACTTAAACTCAAGGTCTCCCACTTTCTATCCTGGTGCCTTAACCATTAGACCAGGGGTCTTCAAACTTGGCCCTTTTATGACTTGTGGACTTCAATTCCCAGAATTCTTTAGCCAGCATGCCTGGCTGAAGAATTCTGGGAGTTGAAGTCCACAAGTCATAAAAGGGCCAAGTTTGAAGACCCCTGCATTAGACCAAAGTGGCCATACTTTTTGAGCAATAATACTGAAGGGTTAATTGCCGCCATGAAATTGCGAAGTTGTATCTGGATTTGGATCACAGCACTGGACTTGTGTGTTCCCTTTCAGGTTTTAAACTTAGTTTCCAACTCTTAGTTGGAATCAGATTAAAACTGCCCTTGTCTAGACATCCACAGTATATCTAGCACAAAATTAACATTACACAGGTTTCTTCACTTGTAGACTTTATATTATTATGTTTATTGAAGGATTTTCCAAAATCCATATATCACAACTGTGATGCATGAACTAAATAACACTTTAGCCTCCTTTACTGGACCATCTTCCAGTTTATCTTTAGCTAAACATGTTTTATTCCTCTTGTTAATCTTTCAAGAGTTTAGTATTCTCTCTCTGGAAATGGTTTGGTTAATATTTTTCAGTCACTGAAGTCAGTTGATCCTTTACTTTTCCATTTTGCAGTGCCAGATGATAATGGTGTTATTTTAATGTTTAGACCTTGCTTAAATTAATCATGCTTCTTAGTTTTGCAGGGTGCATCTGTGTAAGCCAAATTCTGCACGTAGATAGTTTTGACGTGTTTTCAATAGCTGTAGTGTTAATAAATATCAAGAATGTAAGAATGCACCTAGCTTTGATAAAATGGAAATATCATATTTTACATTTTTAGCACATTGTGTTTTGAAGTTTCAGGCTTCTATAATTCCTTTCCAGTTAAACCATGGCCTTGATACTGAGAGGCAAGCAAAATTAATAAGTCTTACCACTCCATTGAAAACTATTAGACTAAACATGAGATGAATATGCATTGAATGTAGGCATATTTCTTAAAGATCGGTTTGTTCTTTTTTTATTAAATATTACATAGAATTTCTTTCACACAGGTACTTAATCCCTGGCATTTTTCATGTTGACTGTTTTTAACTTTTGCGGTTATAACCTATTGCAAATTTATTCCTCTTCTAGTTATGCTTTTTTTTTGTAATGCTGTGAGACTGTCAGTATTATGTTACTATGTTTTAGCAATATTGTGCTTAATCATGAAAGCATAAGTCTGAACATCTGATAATTACGGATGGGAATTGAAGTCGACAGTTTTGTATAAATGGGAGAACTAATTTGAGGAATAAAAATATTAAATAAAGGGAAAAGAAATATATAATTTATATTAGCAATGAACCTGAAACCAAAGCAAACAACAACAATATGATTGTAGAGATGAATTTTTCCATAATAATAGTAATGTTGATAGTAGTTTCTGTGTCCCAGGTAATTAAAGATATTGTATTCATCCTGAGTTCATTTCTGTTGCATCACAGTTCTTGCCATTTATTTTATTCCATAGCTGTTTTCATTTGCATTTCTAGTTATTCCAAGATGAAGATATTTCCTAGAATATTTTTTTCCAAGGAAGAATATTCACTTCATTAAATAAATCATAGTGATGTAACCAAACTGAAAGGTCAATAGAAAAGGAAGGGAAAATAAGAATCAAAAAGGAGCTGTAATGAAATGTAACGGATTAGTGTGAATCTTCATTAATTGCACTTAAATCTCATTGAAATCAGTGTGAAGAGTTCCTCCCCCTCATATTTCTTACTTAATTCCCAAGAATTGGTCTAGTCTTAAGCTGTGTTTCATTTTGTTTCTGAGGAACAAGGAAGATTCACCAAAAGCCAACTCACTTGTGTAATACGAAAAATCCAACACATGCTAAGATTCCACTTTTAACTAGTATTCATTTTGGAATACAACTTTGTATAATGCATAAGTTATTGGCAGGACCACTACGGAGATCACGTCTCTCAGTTGTCTGGACCTCAACTTTAATAGTAATGCCCAATGGCAAAGTCTTGTGAGAAGGTTTCAGACCTTCCAATCCATAGTTGCAGTCTGAAAATAATTGGAAACTGCTCATAATCTGCAGTAATGTTAAGCAACCTAAGAGCAGTAATACTGTGCACTGCTAATCACCTGATAAATGTGATGGTCACGTGACAAAATGAACATATGAATACAGCTCCAGAAAGTAGCCAGAAGATCCAGTCTTTGCACCAGCGGATGCAGTCTTTCTCTCCTCTACGTTTCCCTTGGAAATATCTTTTATTGAACAAGCTGAAGTGAGTTTCAGAAAAAGGACGAGATGTGGTTATCACTATTTGTGACTCAGATGGTTTCCTAGATTCTCAAGATACGTAATGTAAATTTATCAGTAATCTTTCCTCTGGGATAGCTTGCATGAACGTCTTCGGAAGGCGAGAGGTCACAGGCTGAAAGAGATGAGGTTAGGAGTGATGGATTTGAACGGAAGATGGAAAGCAAAACAAATTTCCTGATTTGTTCCCCCGTAACCACTGTTAACACATTAGCTGTTGTCAATGAATATGACTGTTTTCCTTCTTTCTTACATTTCAGCCATTGGGAATGCGTATGCAGTCCTGAGCAATCCAGAGAAAAGGAAGCAGTATGATCAGTTTGGAGATGCCAAAGTCAGCTCTACGCGACATGGTCATACAGATTTTAACCGAGGCTTTGAGGCAGACATTTCCCCGGAAGATCTCTTCAATATGTTTTTTGGTGGTGGTTTTCCCTCTAGTAAGTTGTGAATTTTATGCGCCTGGCTGGCAAAGGGTAGGCTCTAAAGAAAAGGGGATACCTCTGAGTTGGCTTTTCTCCTGTTTCCTGGAGGAGGGAATCCAAAATGAAAGTGTGGCTCGGAGAAGACAAGATTACCATTTGTCACACCAGAGGAAACAGTGCTGACTGAAAGGCCTAGGCCAGGGGTAGGCAACCTTGGCTCTTTTACGACTCGTGGACTTCAACTCCCAGAATTCCTGTGCCAGAATGGCTGGCTCAGGAATTCTGGGAGTTGAAGTCCACGAGTCATAAAAGAGCCAAGGTTGCCTACCCCTGGCCTAGGCCAGCCTTTCTTGACAAGGCAGTCTTTGAAACCTCCTTAAAATTACAATGGAAATTCGATAATGTATTTAACAAATAAATATACATGTGTCCTGTCATCCACCACTAACTGGCTCATGGGGCTATCCAGCTGGACGTGATGGGAGTTGCAACCAGGCCCCTCCAAAAGATCACCCATGTGGCGATCTACAATGCTATGAAAGTTTCTAATAGGTTTCACGTGCTGGACAGATAGCAATATTGTTAGAAAAATGGTTATCGGAGATAGAATCTGCTGAGACTGTGGGTCAGGTTGCATGTTCCTCGGGCCCAGCCATTGAGCATGTAACCTGATCTAAGTGTCTTCAGGCTAGTGGTGGTACTGTTGCATAGTTACCCGTTGTAGCTGAGAACAAAGCTATAGACAGGAAAGGACTCCTGTGGGTGAGTTCTGTGCTTTGCTATGGAGAAGGAATGTTCCATTCCTCACTATTAAAGGATCAATTGAGAAAAGCAAAGCTTTTGCTGACTTTCCGTCTTGAGCTCTTGATCTTTAAGACATGCATGCAGAGAGCTTTCGTCTAATCTCGCCTAAGATCCCCCACCTTTTTGGGGATCCAGAAGTCATTTTTTTCCTTTGGGTAAAATTGGCTAGAACACTGGTTTGGGTGGTTGAGTCCAGTTGAGGTTGCCTTGTAGCAGGTAGCTTAGCGTGCTTGTTTGCTTGAGTTGTTTGGAACAATTTGCTAATGCTTTTGATTGTAACTGAACGGAAACAATAGAAGAAAAAATTCAGAAGTCTTTGCAAACTTTACCACTATGTGGAATCTAAGCTAGGATACAGATGTCCTGTTTTGATGTTGGTAAACAACTCTCACGTTTTGTACTCAGTTTGAGCTTTTATCAACAGTGTTGCAGAGACGTTCCACTCTGTCAAGTGGTATACAACAATGATTTTCCAATTTTCCCCCTCCCCAAATCATAATATTAATCCACAAAGAAATACTTGTTGAACAGTGTAGATTTATGTTCAATATCCCAAGTATCGACAAACGTGCATTTTGTGAGTTCCATTCCCTTTGGGCATTTTTATAATCAGAATTGCTGGCAACTCATGAATTGCATGTGTCCGTGATATGCTGGCTGTGTGCTTTATTTCAGCTTCAGAATCACCTTGAAAACTAAGCCCAACGTCCAGATAATATTCTTTGACTTTCCGTTTTCCAGCTTTATGGCCATTTAACCTATTGATAACTTTTTGCGGGCTTCCACTTGCAATCCCAGCGGAGTTGCTAGGCTCCCTCCTAAACATTTATAGTTTGCACGGCATGCCTTAGCTTGGCTGTTGAAAGCAGTGAGTGTCTATTAAAACGTGAACACTTCTATAGCAGTGGTTCTCAACCTGTGGTTCGGGACCCCATTTGGGGTCGAACGACCATTTCACGGGGGTCACCAAACAACGCAGTCCGCCATTTTTCCCCCCTTTTCCCTAACTGTGCTACTCCCTTTTATTCTATTGGCTTTTGAAAGCCAATAGAATAGACTCTCTTGAATAGAGTCTAATTCTATTGGCTTTCAAAAGCCAATAGGAATTGTCCAGGCTGTTTCTGCCCTGCTGAGCCCGTCAAAAGTCCCATTCTGCAAATGGTGCTGCACCAGTTGAGTAGTCCTCAACTTACGACCGGTTGGGGGTCGCAGCATTAAAAAGGTTGAGAACCACTGTTCTATAGCAATAGAATTATGAGAGATTCATAGATAGATTACTGAGTGGAACAGATTGCTAACTGAGTAGAAGAAATTTCCAGGAGGAGCAGGGTTGTCCCAACTTAACCAATTAAAACTTTGTTTCATCACATTCTGTCTGGCTTATTGGTGTTTTAGTGGAGCCAGGGTCAAAGGAGGAGAGATGGAGATCATGGTCCAAGTGATGGGAAATGGAAGGAAGCATCAGCAACTTAAGAGAACAGAAAAGGAATAAAACACAGCAACTCAGTCCGCGGGTTTTCAAGGCGTGAGGAAGGGGTTTCCTGAGAGGCTGGGGGGCATACTTACCTAAGTCTCCCTGGCAGGCTCCACCTTTAATAGAGAGCCCAAAGGAAGAAGACGCCGCGATTACAACATCTCGGTCCGCAACAGAAAGCCTCCGAGAGTGGTGGAGCCTACCTGGAGAGACCGCCAGGGAGAATCGCGTGAGATTAACCTCCTCTGGGAATCAGCACCCTTTAGCCAAGGAGTTGGGGACCGAGAGCAGCCATCTGGGGCCTCTTGTCTTAACAGCCAGATGGTGGAGCAGGTGGGGGGGAGAGAGAGAGAGAGTGGGGAAAGGGCTATAAAAGTCACTGGACTTCACAACTTTTGCCACCACTTTATTCCCTGAACAAAAGGCTTACAACTGACACCAAGAGCCTTCCTGGAGAACGGAAAATAGAGTCAAACAACACTGAGGCTGCTACTTTAATCTCAGTGATTGGAATTTGGCTTCTGTGCTTCATGGCCAGGAACGGAGTGTTCAGCATTTTATAAAACCAGTGTCCAAATTAGCTCACCCCCCCCCCAAAAAGAACCCAGTCTGCCTTTGTTGCCATTATAGTTACCATTCTTCCATTCAATTATCACCTTCTAAGCTGTCTTTCCTCAGCTTTGTAGCTACAACATCCACAATTTGCAGACAATATACTAAACTGGATTGCGCTCAGTTGAAAGCACCCAGTTAAAGAGGGACAATTAAGAACTTCTTTCTATGATATTTGGTGGATGGTCTTCAACCATTCTTAAAAAGTCTCTTTCTCTCATAGGTAATGTACACATATATAGCAATGGCAGGATGCGATATACCTACCACCAGCGGCAAGACCGACGAGAACATCAAGGCGATGTAAGTTGAAGCAAGGCAGAGGAAGAAATTAAAATGTTTCAGAACATGCACAGATCTGTTCCAGTCAAATGGTATTTTGCTATATTGTTTATGCCCATATGGGTCTGTTCGTTGTTTCCTTTGCTAATCCAAAAGTGCACGAGGGTGTTAGGTTTTTGGTTTTCAGTTAACTGTGGTTTTTCAAAAAGGCAGTTTTCATTGCTATTTATGTGTAGGAGTACGATTCCTGCCTAATGCCAAAGTAAAAGCATTATTGTGCTTTGTAATGCATTGTGGTGACTGTCTTTGAAAATGTGTTTTTTTTTTCACCAGTACATTTTGTGCCCATGAGTTGCCTATGGAAATCTGCAAACAGAAAAGTAAAGAGTCCTGCCCTTCAACTAATCTTCCTTAGCACCTAATATTCAGGAACAGTCTGCCTCTAATATTGGAGTTAGCATGGAGTCATTCTGATTGCTATCTGTTACCGGACTCATCGTCCAGAAAATAAAAGCTATGAAGCAGAATGTCATTTGTTCAAGGTTGGCCTCTACCACAGACTCTCTAGCAGAGTCATTAGGCAAGGATTGACTCCCACCCTCCTAGTCATACCCATTCATAAAATAAGCCAAATGTCATGGGTGGAACCCAGGGCTGCATTTCTATCAGAAGATTGTTCGTTAGAGGATATGTCTAGTCCACTCACAAGATCGTCCAGTTTTTCTCCTGGAGTGGTCTGATCCAGATAGGGTAGGGATATTTTATTTCCAGAAGTTAACCTTCTAGAACAGGGGTGTCAAATTGCCGGCCCGCAGGCCGGTTGCATCATGCGGAGGCCACGTCCACCCCAATGTGAAAAAAGTTGACGCGTGACGCGGCGAGTTTGACACCCGTATTCTAGAACAGTGTTTCTCAACCTTGACAATTTTAAGGCACGTGGACTTCAACTCCCAGAATTCCACAGCCAGTGCTGGCTGTGGAATTCTGGGAGTTGAAGTCCACGTGCCTTAAAATTGTCAAGGTTGAGAAACGCTGTTCTAGAACAAAGAATGGAACGTGTAGAAACAAGACATGGAGGAAGTAGGGAGCCAGTTAGGTCTATTGGTTAAGGCACCAGGCTAGGAAAAAAAAAAAGACCAGGGATTCTAGGCCCACCTTAGTCATGAAAGCCAGTTGGGTGACCTTGGGCCAGTCATTCTCTCTCAGTCCAACCCACCTCACAGAGGAGTTGTTGTGAGAAAAATAGGAGGGAGGTGTGTTGGGTATGCTTGCCACCTTGTTTCTAAAAAATAATAAAAGGATACAAATAAATAAATAAATACATAAAGCGGGACTAACCTGAAGTCCCTGGCACTTCCTTCCAGTTTTTTTTCCAGAGGATTTAATTTCTCTCTGGAACAGATTTCAGGGAAGACCAAAGGCTGTAGCGGGTAAGTGTACAGTACTTTAGGTTGTGCTCAGTTCTTCATAGGATTGTTTAGAAAGCTTCTGGGTTCAACAATATGCTTGGCCATAATATAAGTTTGATTTTGGTTTACCAGATTGTGCGGACCCAACCAACTATAGCTTGCTTATTCAACAAATCATGGTAAAATCATGCCGTGGCTTAGTCTGTAATACAGTACATGCAAAACACTTCAAGCATTTGCTGAATTGGCATGAAACCATAGAGCAGGGGTTTTCAACCTTGGCAACTTTAAGACTTGTGGACTTCAACTCCCAGAATTCCTCAGCCAACAAAGCAAATTCTGGGAGTTGAAGCCACAAGTCATAAAAGGGCCAAGACTAAAGACCCCTGCCCTAGTGAGTCGACTTAGTTGTGGTAATAGTGCTAGATCTACTAATCTTTTACATGTCTGGTTTCCCCCTAGTATGTCTATAATTAAAATGGCTGTTCAATTTAGGGCACTTCCATAGTGCTTCCATTTTCACTCTCGAACCATCAAGAAGCATTTTTTTCAGCATCCGCAATTGTCTTAATTTCTGCCCATGTAGAAGAACAACAAGCAATGATTTAAAACCAGTTTTCCCAAACTATTACCACAACTAAGTCTACTCACTAGGGCAGGGGTTCTCAACCTTGGCAACTTTAAGACTTGTGGACTTCAACTCCCAGAATTCCTCAGCCAGCAAAGCTGGCTGAGGAATTCTGGGAGTTGAAGTCCACAAGTCTTAAAGTTGCCAAGGTTGAGAACCCCTGCAGAGCCTTTCAGAAGCTGATCTTCATACACCTTGCTAAATCATGGTTTGACCAACCACGTGACTAAATCAAATGTGACCAAATTCACATGGCATCTAAAAGCCATAAATAAAAAAACCACATTGTGAGCTACCGGAAAAAAATCAAAAATCAAGATTTGAACCACAGTTGTCAAAGATAAATGGTTTGGGGGATGCAGTTGATTGATATTTTCAATTCTTTCTTCCCAGGGTGGCCTTGGGCTCTTTGTCCAGCTGATGCCTATCCTCATTCTCATCATTGTGTCTGCCCTCAGCCAGATGATGGTCTCCAGCCCACCTTACAGTTTGAGTCACAGGCCGTTAGTGACCATTATTCTTGTCCCTAGAGTTAACCTGGGTAGTAGGATTTTGGGAAAGACTTAAGAGCAAAGCTTATATTTACCAGTGCTTGGTGTTCTTTGGTGTGTTTTTTCCCATCTCTCTTTGTTTCTCTTGGTTTCACGCCATGCCTGCTGGGATAAGATTGCTTAAAGTATTTATGTGGTAAACATTTAAATGTAAATTATAGGACTTCACGATCTATGGGAGTAGGACTCACTTAGATGAAACCTGACCCAGCCTATCTCATAAAGGGTACTATTTCACAAAGAAGCATTTTTGTGTCATCTGAAATCCTCCACAGATTGACTGTGAAGATACATGATATTGACCATGTAATTAGATGGATGCCTTTTGGCTGCCATTTTCTGGGTCAGGAAAGCCTTAGTGTGCAATTTTTCTAGCAACTCTAAATGCTGACAATGACAGAAGCAGAGGATATAAGGTAGAGTACATTGAGTATGTACCCTACCTTACAGGGTAGGATTATAGCCCTGGAATTTCCATATATGTCAGAAAAAGCAACTTCCTGAATTCTAGGCAGGTTCCTACCAATCAGTATTCAGGATACCAGGCAGGTTGGGCCCTGTTCATGAAAATTGTCCCAAAAGGAAAGTAGAAAAGAAAGAATCTTCTGTAAGAATGAGCTGCCCCCGTATTATACCGTATGAAGGTCTTTAGGTGATTTTTAAGTCTGGCAGAAGTCTGGCTGTTGTTGTGCAATTGTCAGTTTTACTGATGGATTGACGTGCAGGATTGACGAAGGTAAGACGGGACATATTGCCTACAAAAGCGTACTTCTTATTCTGCGAGGACAAGATTTTTGGATATTAAGGCTGTGGGTGCTTTTCCATTCTTTCCACACTGTCATTGTTCAGTGATGAGTTGGAAGCTGGAATCTGATTTCTCTCTGGATCCTTCTCCATTCTGGCATAGAATCAGCCAGAAGGAAAAGAAATGCGGGCACTCAAGTCACAACTAATAGACATAAAGTAATATATTGTATAACTCTTGTATGTTGTGTTGCACATTAGGACGCCACCCTGCTTAGCTATGTTTTAGGAAATGTTGACTGCACAAAAATTCTGTTCTTTAAGGAGGTGGTTAGGTGGGAGTTTCCCATATGCCATTTTAAGGTGATTTTTTTTTTTTTTAAAAAAAAGATAAACTATACATTCAAATTGGCATTTTTAAACCGTCAAGTTTGACATCCTTACGCTAGTTGTTCGAATTGAAATAGCACATTTTTATGACTGGTATAGTCATCTTTTAGTTTGAGTTCAGATTTCATAAATGCTGTTCAGATTTCTTAAATATCTAATTCCAAAGCTTGAACTCAGATCTCAAAGCATTGGCTCAACAAATCGGCTTTGGAATTCAGCATTTAAGAAATGCAGAATTTATGAATGCAATCTCCCAAACCGGAAGCTGACTATCCCAATCAACTTTGTCCCAAAATCCATAAAAAGAAATATTTCGCCGGAAAGATGTGCATTTTCAATTTTAAAATCTGAACACATGGAATAAAGGATTTTAAAACTTGAACATTTTTAAAATGCAGTTTTAAAAAACTATGTGTTGCATTGTCACTCTTTGAAGCTCCCTCCTTCTCTAGCTACTCATGGCAACATCTTGCTGTGATCTTCCATAGATTTTTATCAGCTGATGGCATGACTGTATAGGCCCTTGTGCAAGACTGCAGATTTGATAAAAGCTCTTGGTAGCTTTCCATGTCATACTCTGGAAGAAACCAGGGTATTTCTCTATGTCTTTAGATACAGAAGTCCTCTTGTTCCTGAAACTCATGAGGGACTTTTTCTTTTTTCAATCTACATCTCCTTTCTCAGTAGTTTGCTTACTTGATAATTTATGATTGGTCTTAGGACCATAATGGGAAAAAGTAAATGTAGGATCTAGTTGTAGAATAAAATAGACAATAGAAAATACAGTAATAAAATACAGACATGGTAAGAACAGACATTCAGATAAATATATCACCTTTACAGGATATAATGAGTTCTTAGCTCAGTAACCCTAAACATGGCAGATCTGTTCACGATGCAGACATTAGCGCCCAGGAGGGAATAAGACAATCTGAGGTCCAGATCCCAGTGGGCTGTTCTTCCAAGTAGGGCTGTTAAGTACCTAAGCCTAAGAGGGGCATGTCAGTCAAGCAAAACGTGAGCAATCTCATGTACTGTATGTAATAACGATGTATATAATGGCTGGGACACACTGCATGCACACATTCCCTCATGATATGGCAGGTGACAGAAGTGTCCACATTTGGCCATGGAATTCAAATCTTGCTCTAGGATAGTCCTTGAGAATTCTGTCAAAACTCATCGATAGGTATTTTTCGAATGGAAAAAGAATTTTCTTCTTAGCCAACCATGTTTTTTTTTCTTTGTCAATAACTCCATTTCATTTTGCACACTGGTATCTGGGACTCTGTATTTAAACATTTCCAGTAAAGAAGAATATGTGGAGCTCACGGTTGAAATGAGGGATCCTTGGTGCTCTCTTGAGTTTGGTCGGGGTTTTTTTTTTGCAGATATTTCATTACCCAAACTAGGTGACATCATCAATGCTGATGATGTTACCTAGTTTGGATAATGAAACGTCTGCAAGAAAACAACCATGGGACCTCCCCATCACAAAAACTACTGACCGCACAAAGCCCTTATGCACAGAGGAATACTGACATCCTCTAACCTCCACTGAAGATGTTACCTAGCCTGGTAACGAAACGTTCACAAGCTTGGAGAATGAACCTACCCCTGGGCTACAGATATTCGCCACCATCACAAAGCCACCAAGCTCGGAGAGCACCAAGGACTCCTCATTAAAAAATTTCCCTTGCCTGGCAGACAGTTGAGAGTAAATATTTGATGTGAAATAACGTTAATAAATCACAGAATTGGGCTGAGCCATACTTCTCTGATCTGCCATACATATTTGGGATAGCCCAGGGGTAGGCAGCCTTGGCTCTTTTATGACTCGTGGACTTCAACTCCCAGAATTCCTGAACCAGCATGGCTCAGCTTGGAAACCTCTCCCTTTCCCCTCAGCATGACTGGCTCAAGAATTCTGGGAGTTGAAGTTCACGAGTCATAAAAGAGCCAAGGTGGCCTATCCCTGGGATAGCCTATCAGGATACATTGATTAGATTCTCTGTCAGCATGTGAAAACTTTATTATTGTCTATGCTTGGAGCAGATGGATACCTGTTTCTGCTCTGGTCCCATGGGATGATGTGTTCGTATCCGTTCCCAGTATGCTTCTTTTTTTTTTTTTAAATGAGTCTAAACTTATTCAAGTGAGGTGACTTGTAAGGCCCCCACATCTTTCCCCAGTAGAGACTTGAAAGGGATGAAACCAAATGGATCGAGGGCACTGGCTCATCGCAAACAAATCAGCAGAATCAACCAAATGGCAAACGTTTTGGCAGCAATTGCACCCACTGCCTGAGCCAACTGAATACATTATAAATGCACTGCACCAACCATTTGTCGTTAGAATATAGCAGATAATAGACCAATGTATATGGATAGCCAGGAGGGGGCAGTGCTGCCTTATCAGTTCTCTCTTTGAAGCACACAAAGCTGTTAGGAGAACCTGATTTTTTCAGCTGTCTTGGAGCAGGAAAATGTAATGCTGCTAAAAAGGCTGGAATTCAGCCATTAAGTGGTAGATTTAATCCCTGTTTAGATTATCACTCAGGTAAACCAGCCTGTCAGATGGAAAAAAGATTTGTCTCCAATTCACGTGCATAATGCTAGACTGTATATTTGTCTTGGGTTAAGAGGTCATCTTCTGACAAGGCCCAGGGCATTAAACTATTTCTTTCTGGATGGCATAAATGGTGGAGGTGGGGTATGAACATGTACACATAGGCAACCAACCAGAGATTTAAATGTCTGTTGCAAAAGAAGGAGGAAAAAAATCCACTTTCTAAAAATTTCACCATGTAGGAGATTCAGGAGAGTGATTTAAGGAGCAAATACATTTTTGTTTTATATAAAAATGTATGGATGCTTATCTTATTCAGGAGGAAGCAGCAGTCATTTGGTTGAAATGGTGCTATCGAGGTATAAGGCTAGTTTGGATGGAATTCCTAAACTAGGCTAGGAATCTGAGAACAGTGGAGTGTTGTCCGTTGTTAAAAGCCAAAAGCACTATTTTTTTTGTAAAAATCTAAAAAGTAGACTTGCAAGAATTCCTCTCAGAAAAAGTACTCCAAATATCTTGAAATTAGACGTGATAAGAGTTTAAAAAAAACCCAAATAGAACTAAGCCTAATGTAGAGTGATAGACATTTCTTCTGTAAAAACAAATATCTTTGCAACTTCTCGCTGAACCATAATCTTGACATTTTCCTGTAACAATGCGAGTCAGCACTTAACTCTTCTGAAATGGAGGGATTCTGTACTCAAGATACCGAGAACTGGATCCAGCTTTGCATAAAAACATGGCTTCTGATGTGAAACAAAGAGAATGAATAATTTGCATGGCGCAAACTGGGGGGGACAATTAAGACAAAGCAATTAGTGATTTGCGACGCCTGATTAGATTATCATTTCTGTCCCAAGGGCTTATATGTAGCCTTGAATACATTAAAGCCAAAGTGTTTACTAAACATAGGTGCACCTTTTAAGAGCAACTAATTTCTCATGTCAAGTGTGGAGAAACTTGGGGGAAGGCCTGTAAACATTCTGTAACATGAGAACTACAGAATATTTTCAGTAAGAGTCCTCTCAGCCGATTACTTTAATCTAGCCCTGTAGCACGGAGATCGGGTTTCTTTTTTCTCTTTCCAAAATAATAAGGAGAGCTTGATCTCTTTTCAAGTTAGCACAAGCTTTTTCTTTTGGGCTCCCTGCCATAAGAGACAAAAGCGCCCCCCTGTTACTTCAGCCATAAGAAACCAATTGTATGTAACAGAAACATGTCTGTCTAATTCTGAGCATCTGCAGTAGGTTCATTCAGACCTTTCCTTACTGGTGACATGCTTCAGCTTGCAGACCAAAGGCCTAAATTGAAGATGGTTGCAGCAGGTCTCTGGGATGTCAGCAGTGGTCAAGGACATTGGAGAGAGGTGACAAAATGGGATTTTCAGGAGCAACCCATTGAGATAATGGAGAGATTGTTGAGGCAGTCCCCTTCCTCCATTCCAAATCACATTCATTGTTGTTGTTGTTAGTTGCGAAGTCGTGTCTGACCCATTTTGACCCCATGGACAATGTTCCTCCAGGCCTTCCTGTCCTCTACCATTTTCTGGAGTCCATTTAAGCTCACGCCTACTGCTTCAGTGACTCCATCCAGCCACCTCATTCTGTGTTGCCTCCTTCTTCTGTTGCCCTCAATCTTTCCCAGCATTAGGCTCTTCTCCTGTGAGTCCTTCCTTCTCGTTAGGTGGCCAAAGTACTTGAGTTTCAACTTCAGGATCTGGCCTTCTAAAGAGCAGTCAGGGTTGATCTCTTCTAGGACTGACCGGTTTGAATGCCTTGCAGTCCAAGGGACTCGCAGGAGTCTTCTCCAGCACCATAGTTCAAAGGCCTCAATTCTTTGTCGCTCAGCCTTTCTTATGGTCCAACTTTCACAGCCATACATTGCAACTGGGAAAACCATGGCCTTGACTATATGCACTTTTGTTGGCAGGATGATGTCTCTGCTTTTTAGTATGCTGTCTAGATTTACCATAGCTTTCCTTCCCAGGAGCAAGTGTCTTTTAATTTCACATTCATTATTCTCCTACAAAAGCTTATGTTCACTAATATCCACTGTTAGGCTCATTCCATCCTCATTAAATTTTCTCTTCCCATGAAGGGAAACAACATGCTGTTAAACTTTACATTGTGTGGATAATCTACACTAGCGCAGTTTATGGATAATCTATCTTGATTCTCCTTAAAGAGACTGACAACCATTCTGTTCTTGCAGGAGCAGCATGGCAGAGGATAAAGGAAGATTTTGGTACCAGAGTTTGCTTTTGGGTGGGATTGGCTGGTATGGGGGGGGCTTATCCAAACAGATTTTCCTTGGTGTCTAGGTGTGCAATTTTGACCGTTGCTTTTGTCCTCCTTTCCTCCAGGTCTGTTGGCCATGTATTTAAACGAACGACTGAGCATTTGAAAGTGTCTTACTATGTAGGTGACAGCTTTGCGGAAGAATACACAGGCACAAATCTTAAAAATGTAGAAAGGAGCGTGGAAGATGATTATATTGCAAACCTCAGAAATAACTGTTGGAAAGAAAAACAGCAGAGTGAGTAGCCCAGCTTTAAGACATGATTAGACAAAGAGAGAGGCAGGGTCAAGGCATTGTAAACTGCATTTCAAGAAATTCTGTTGCTTGCTTATTTATTTTATTTATATTCCATTCCTGTAAATTGGGCTCACAAAGATGTTGGGAAGGGGTTATTGATAGTTAAAATGAAGCCACCTTTACAAATGAGATGCCTTTGACAATTTAGCTGTTGCAGTTCAAGCATTATTTATGTGGGTACACATGTGCGAACAGACCCTGCAAACAGCCATGTGAGCCTTCCAGAGGATACAGTGTATTTATGCTTATGGGAAGAATGTTTGACTTGTGCTAACATGTCTTGCAAAGTGCTCCTTTCAAATGCTTTATACAGCTCTATTGAGCATTATGGTGTGCCCTAATTTTATTATCCTGTTTCCCCGAACTTAAGAGTTTAAAACAGTGGTTCTCTCAACCTGTGGGTCGGGACCCCATTTGGGGTCGAACGACCATTTCACGGGGGTCGCCAAACAAGGCAGTCCGGCATTTTTTCCCCCCTTTTCCTTAGCTGTGCTACTCCCTTTCATTCTATTGGCTTTTGAAAGCCAATAGAATAGACTCTCTTGAATAGAGTCTAATTCTATTGGCTTTCAAAAGCCAATAGGAATTGTCCAGGCTGTCTCTGCCCTGCTGAGCCCGCCAAAAGTCCCATTCTGCAAACGGTGCTGCACCAGTTGAGTAGTCCTCGACTTACGACCGGTTGAGTAGTCCTCGACTTACGACCGGTTGGAGGTTCTGGCATTAAAAAGGTTGAGAACCACTGATTTAAAATATCCAAATGGAACAACAGTTCCTAAGCTTTCCATCTTTGCACTCACCTCCTTCTTAAGCTATACTGTATTTACAACATCTGGAGCAGGGTTTAGCAGTGGATAAATATTTTTCGCAACTCCTTTGCAGCTCCCTGCTCAAGATGAGATGTGACGAAATGAGGGAATCGTATACTCCTCTCCAGTAAAATCCACAAAGTATATCAGAAATGCAGTACAAACTAAAGAGAAAAGTTGCAGCTGTCTGGACTGTTTCCTTAATTATTTGGATTTCTTCTTTTACAGAGGAAGGCTTACTTTACCGGGCACGTTATTTTGGTGATTCAGATCTATATCAGAGAGCACAAAAGATGGGCACACCCAGCTGTACCAGACTGTCTGAAGTTCAAGCATCAATGCATGGATAGCCGTTGCAGAAACAGTCCATAGAGACCTAAGTAAGAGCTGGTTGTTTCTATTTCTGGAAACTGGGAATTTGGTATAGGAATACTAATTTTCCACCATAATTTAGAATCCAAAGCTATTTTCATGTTTTATGCTACCTCATGGTTAGTTTTGGCAGAGTTAGTCAAACAAGCAAGTGTTAGTCTTGCAGACAAAAAAAAAAAAAAGATACCTCTTTGGTCATACTTAAATCATTCTCTCCATTCTTAGCAGCAATTCCTTTGCATCCCTCTGAATTAATTTCATGTTTGGTCTGGGTACAAAACAAACTGGGAATAAACAAAATGCTCCTATTTACATGTCACGCTAAGCCATAGATGTAGTTTGAAAGCCAACATAAATCATGGTTTCAGTGGTTTATTGCCTAAACCCATTTCTTATTCGCTGATCCCATTTACCTTTTATGTTAAGATAAAAAAAAAAATCAAATTGCATAACAAGCAACCCAAAGTGTGACTTCCTATATGCTCACTGGTTCTTCTTGATGCTCATGTGCTCTTGATCATCATCCCTTTGCCAGGACTTATAGCTTAAGTTAAATAGTTGCACTTTTCCTATTCTCAGCAGTGCCTCTGGTCGGTGGGTGGTTGTCAAATGAGCAAGATGGCAGATGGAATGTTGCAGTGCAAGGCCCACCCCTTTCCTACATGCACTCTTCACACATCTAAAAGTGGCAGAACTTGCTTTGTGATGCTTTGTCTGCCATCTTGCCGATTTTGAGTGGCCTCCCCCTCTCTGCAAACATGACTGGGTGTCCCTTCTGTTTCTCAGAGCCTTGTTAATTTTGGTGCCGAAATAATTATTGGGTGGCTGATGGGCCCGTTGCACAATGACTGGTGAACATCTTTTTAGAAGCACTTACTGATAAGCTTTTCAGCATTAGTGGCTTCAACTAAAAGTCGAATGTCAAGAATCGAATGGACAGCCAGCCGTGGATTGTTGCAATAGTGTTAAAATACGGCATACTTTTGTGAACTCAGTTTTAAAGGTGGCTTAAAGGATTCTGCGATTCTTCACAATTATTTAAGCAATTAAATCACTTCCCCTGCATATGTGCTTAGCCAGCTTGCTTTACTCTTCAAGTCAAAACCAATTTTATCATAATATCACATTATTTGATATTTGGAAGATGACACTATAGTATAGTTCATTTTAAAACTTAATACATGAATTTACCATGCCATTACAACTTGTAGAAAAGAGATTCAGAAGGGCTTGATGGACCTACCACAAAAATGAAGCATTGGATGTAGTTTCCTTTGTATTGCAAAGAATCACAATGATTTGTCCCTTTCACAGTGAGAATTTATTAGAGCTAATGATGCTTAGCCATAGAAATGTAAGCACTGAAATAATGCTAAACAGCTTCAAAGATATGAGTACATCTACTTCATTTAGTCCTAGTTAAATGCTTTTACAGAAAATAAAAACTTTGGAAGATACATAGCCATTGATTTAGGGTAATGGTGCTTCTGTAGCTTTCCAGTTAGAATTGTTTATCACCTGAAGCTGTTGTCTTTGTCATCACCCTTCTTTGTTTGTTTATTGCGTTCCATTTTAATATGGGTCAGTTCTCCTCCAAGCAATTCACAACATCTAAATTACATAATGGGCAGCAACTTTGGGATAGTTGCTTAACAAATCAGTACACGTACCATCTTGCTAATGTGGATATTTCTAAAGTTGAAACAATCGGCAAACGCTTCATATAGGGCCCAGTGATCAAAATATAAAAAATCATTTTAAGCGCTGCCCAAAATAATACATTGAAATCCAAGGTCAACTGATTTCTCCAGCAACAGTCTCTAAACCAAATTGGCCTGCTGTTCACACAACGGAAGGCAACATAGGTTTTTTTTTTTGCCTCCCCGGTTGTGCGAACACTATGTCGATTTGGTTTGCCAGCATTTTATTACAAACATGCACACCGTTGAACTGTATTTTCTACCCCAGAAGCAATTATTTTTGGGGGGGAAAGGGGTTCCAGAAACTCGAATTCTGAATCTTAAGTTTTGAAAGCCTCAAATGGGAAGTCTCTCTCTAGGATGTTAACCTCACTAGTTAATGGGATTGAGATGGTGGTTTAGGTCAGGGGTTCTCAACCTTGGCAACTTTAAGACTTGTGGACTTCAACTCCCAGAATTCCTCAGCCAGCAAAGCTGGCTGAGGAATTCTGGGAGTTGAAGTCCACAAGTCTTAAAGTTGCCAAGGTTGAGAACCCCTGGTTTAGGTGCACTTATGAGTTGGGTGCTTTGTAATACAGAGATAGTCTGCAAGATTTTAGGCAGCACGAGAGGCAGATGTTCTTCTGGAACCTTCCAGGGCTCTTCCCTCCCTTCCTGCCAGTTAGAACTGAGCCAGATTGATGACCATTGATCAAGGGTAACCAGGCTAAAAACTAACTAATCTTTACTCGCACAACTTTTTGTTCTTTTTCTTCCTGTGGCATGTGTTTTATTTTGAGTGAGAAAACGGCACAGGAAGAGTTAGGATGCAACTGGGATGTATTCGACATAATGGTCTTCCATGCTAAACACACACACTCACACACGCCCCCTTTTTTTCTGGAACAGGTTTGACTTGAATTTCAGGCGAACCATCCCAGCCACAGCTAACCTTCCTTGGTGAGAAAAAAGATTTTAGTCTTTTTTTTTTTTTAAATGTAGAGAGGCTTAACAGACTTCTCTTTAAGGCACCCTAGATAGCTGAGGTTGCTACAGGCAAAAGCACTGTGACTTTTTGTGTAAGACATCTGTTCCTAAGAACAGCGTTTTGAGTGTTGGTGTGTGTTTGAGGACAAAGGGACAAACATTGGAAGAACACCTGAGCAGCTTTCTACAGAGTGTTTAGTCTTGCACTTGTCTGCAGTGATTGTCTTCATTGACCTGTGTTCCTTTTCAGGAGCAAAATAGTCTAGTTGGCAGAAATTCATACAACTGTGTGATTGAAGCAGCTCCAGTTTTTAGATTAGATTAGATAACCTTTACTGTTATTTTGAAGAGATCAACCCCGACTGCTCTTTAGAAGGCCAGATCCTGAAGTTGAAACTCAAATACTTTGGCCACCTAATGAGAAGGAAGGACTCACTGGAGAAGAGCCTAATGCTGGGAAAGATTGAGGGCAATAGAAGAAGGGGACGACAGAGAATGAGATGGCTGGATGGAGTCACTGAAGCAGTAGGTGTGAGCTTAAATGGACTCCAGAAGATGGTAGAGGACAGGAAGACCTGGAGGAACGTTGTCCATGGGATTGCAGTGGGTCGGACACGACTTTGCAATTAACAACAACAACAAATTGTCATTTTTTCCTGTGGACACAATGGCGCACATTAAAAATTAAATTTTGTAGGCAGTCAGTGCAGTCACAGCCATCTTGACCTTTTTTTTTTAATCTTACACTGCAGATACCCTGTTATGCATTTCATTTCAATGTTTAAAGACAAAAAAAAAAAAAAAATAAGAATCAGCTTCTAAATTAACATTTCCAGTTAGGCCACTCTGTTCTCTAAATGGAAGTGCCGGTCCTGTTACCCTTGTAATTGACTGGAGACTGATGCTTCTGCTGTTTTTCTCCTCAGACTCTTCAAATGCCTGAAGATTTTGGGGGAAGTGCACTGAGCCAAGAAGACAGACTTTCTATTTAAAGAATCAGTTCTTAAATTAAAATGGCATTGGAGTATTAACAACGCACAACTACCCTCTCTTCTCTTTCTCTGCCCAGCGTTAGACTTGAACATCTCTTAAGGAGGGAAAAGACGGCTGGTCTTTTTTTATTTTTTTTCCTCCCCTCTCTCCTCTCCCATCCTCCAAAGGATCCCCTTCCCCTGGGAACAGTTGTCGAGTTGCTTTGGTTTCCTTTCAAGATCTGCCGAAAATCAGGAGCAGTGGAGAAAGTTCTGCAATTGCACTAGTCACTTCAGAGAGCAAGGGAGGAACCTGAAGAGCTAGAAATTTAAACAAAATTAATTTTAAAAGACACTATTTAGAATTTAACTTAGCATTGTAAATATGTTGTACTTCTAAACTATGCAGGGATAGAATTAAATTATTTCGTTCTTTTTCTTTTTCTTGTTTCTTTTCGTTTTTTTTGCTGAACTTCATAATCCAGTATCTCTGAATTCTAGCTTTTTTTTTCCCCCTGCCTGGGCCCTCACTTCCTTTTTTGGCCCAAGGGCCTGTTTTCTATCAATGGCAATCTTCTCTGACAATACAAATGTTTTATATTTTATAATGGCTTGGACTTTCTGGGGGGGGGGGGGGCGCGAAGTAAATTCACAGACCCTGAAACTGTTTCCTTTTTTAAAATGTGAAATATTGAGCCCAATAGATATATTTTCTATGGACACATTCTGACCCAGTTTTGGATTTGCAATGTACGGCGGCTTTTACTGAACGACTCGTTCTTCCTAATAAATGGAGAACAAATTGTCTCAAAACGATCTTCAGTTCACCAAGATGGCTTTTGCTGTGTGGACTTTTTTTTTTTGTTAGGTTTTGCAGACTTTTCACTTTTTGCCTTGCAATCGGGGTTCGTTCTGCTACCCAGAGGCGTGCTATTGTTTTTCCCTCAAGGGATGTCTCCTTCTGTCTTTTCCCCTGCTTCCCCACCAGATTTCCTCTTGCTCTACAAAATAGTATTTTTTTTGACAAAATGTTGCTGCTGATTTCATTCCAGGAACCTGCTATGTGCTGGCGGGGCCTATCAAGTAGTGATGCAGTTATGTACTTTTCCATTTGGTGCGGCTTGGATGGCCCTTCTCTATAGAGCAGGGGTGTCCAACCTTGGCAACTGTAAGACTTGTGGTTGGGACTTCTGGGAGTTGAAGTCCACAAGTCTTAAAAGTTGCCAAATGTGAGACCCCCTGCTCTAGAGCAATGAAAGGCTGTGCAGCAACAGTGCTTGTATATTCTGGTGACAATCTTCCTCAGAGAACGGGACTCTTATGTTCCCTTCCTCAGGAAAACAGGCCATCTTTATCCAACAAGATTTTGCTACTTTCCATTATTTAAGCAACTGAAAGAGGCAAAGAATAATTCTTATTACTTGACTGGGCTGTGAAGTCTAACTTTCATTTGAAAAAAAAAATGCTACATGATGCCAGACTTTTTTAATCTTTTAAGTCCACACAATGCTGTCAGAAGAGCCTTAAGAGAAGTTACTTCAAAGAGCTGAGCCATTCACCAGAGTTAACAGTTAATGCTCCTAGTTCCAATAAGCCTCATCATCTTGAATTAGCAGTAATCTGAAGATGCTTCCACTCCTGCAAGAAGTTTTGCGTTTTCATTAGTCAAACAAGGATTCCTTTTACAGGCCTGGATCAACTCCTACTATCAAAGCAAATCAGTACTCAGGATCAGAGTAATATGTTAAGAAATGACTTAGTTATGTCAAGGAAGTAGCATTACCGTTAATTACTTCACACTGGAATCTTCTTTAAGTTGCTGTTAGTTTTGTCCAGAAAGTTTTATATTATTTAGTTGGCAAATGTCCATCTAAAGACTTGTTCAGAATTGTTCAAGTACCAAATAAGAGCTGATGGATTGGGGATGGTCTAATAATTGTGTCATTTCTTTGGCATTGACAAATGGATGCTGATTTGAACAGAGTTTTTCCTGTCATAAGCAGCCATCTTGATGGACAGATCCGTTCCATTTGTCTGCAGTCCCAAGGAGATGTCTCCACCTTCCACTGTCCCCGGAGAGCAGATCAAAACCTCAACCCTGTTGATTAGCATTCAGTGATCCCTCCAGCCATTTTGAAGGATCGCTTGTCCAGCTGCGCAGCACAAAATGACCAGCTTCTGAGATGGCAACACGAGCCCCAGGCCATAACAATCAGATCTTTTTGATTTTCTTAAGTAGATAGCCGGGGATGAATGAGCAACGTGCAATAAAAAGCATAGGTCTTGAAAGATATTGAAGAAGGCTGTATTTCTTAATTATATAATTGTACATCTATAAATAAAGATTTATAACATGAAAGCTTGCCCCTAGTGTTTGTGTCGCCCTACAAGCAAAGCAGAATCGTTTCGCCAAATACCATGATGGGTTCATTCCAGCAGCTGCCCTTAAACTGAATTGGTGCTTATATTTAGTAATGAATATATTTATAGGTTCCACAATAGGCAAAGCGTATTTACAAGAATCCATAAAGATTTGGTGTTCTGCTGATCCAAATATCATAAGCCTTAGAAGCTCTTATTTGTGAAAAGCTGCTATGCTGTATACTGATACCATTTCAACCACAATATATCCTAATATTTTAGCATTCTTAATGATATCAAGAATCCAGAGATCCCAGAGGCAACAGATTGTAACTTTGCACATAGTTGGGGAGGTTTCCCTCCATAGAAGATTGCTCTCGTGCTTCCAACCAAGCAAATGGTTAATACTGTCATGGAATATAAATTAATATTGCAATATCTTTGGAGCTGATGATTGGCATTTCTTATTAGAAATTGTGTGGGGAGAAGCAGTGTTTATGCAGAGTGCCTCAAAGGGGATTCCAAAATGTATAAACAAGACTTTTAACCTTCCAAGGACAAAGTTAGGTGTATTAATTTTGGAATATCTTCCTGGGATACCAAAGAGGTTGCTATCGGGTATGTTGACTGTTCAAACGTGCGCTCTCCCCAGGGTATGGATCCAGGATGTGATAAACAGATTATTGAGACTTGTCAAGTTGATTGATCATGATTCCTATTCACTAGATTGCATGGAAATGAGTAATATTCCAGGTGTTATGAAAGTTTTGTCTGACTGAAACCCTGAAGAGGAAGGTGATGGACCTGGTAGGGGTGTTTGTGTGCATATAAATGATAGGAGGATTGTAAGGAGAGAATTCTAAAGCTAAATGATGGTTACACGGATGAGGATAGAAAAGGTTCATTTCTTGAGCCACTGCTAGCTTCATTTGCTTTGAGAGCTTGTGAAAATATAAACAGCAGAGATGGGAATGCAAGAATCTATCCTCACCCTTAACCTCCCACCTTCACTCACACATAAAAATACACCATGAAAAAAATGGGGCAAAATATTCTTGCCTATGCCCCCTCTAGTGACATTACTGGAATATTTCCTGCGGCCGATTAGCCCATCAGGAAGATAGATTGCAGACTCCACCTGGAAGAAAACCCACCTTTTGCCAAAAGAGAAACTAAGGTGATGTGCAGATATCTAGAAATTTTCAAAGAAAATAATTGAGAGATATTGATACTCTGATGCAACACTGTTGGAAAGAAGATGAGCTGTAATGCCTGTTGGAAATTGACTATGATAGGAGTCACTGAAGCTTGATGGGATGATTCCCCAAATTGGAATGTAGCAGTGGAAGGACGTAACTACAAGTAGTCCTCAAATTATGATCACAGTTGGGCCCTGAATTTTGTTTACTAAGTGATGTGGTTAAGCAAGTCATCGTTTGACCAGACTCAATTTTACGACCATTTTCACCATGGTCATTAAGCACATCTGACTTCCCATTGACTTTCAGAAGCTAATTGAGAAGGTCGCCAATTTCAATTATGTGACTTCAGGGGTGGTGCAGCAGCCCTAAGTTTGAGGACCGGTCATAAGTCACATTTTAGTGCCCTTATAACTTTAAACCATCATTAAGTGAAAGGTCGTAAGTTAAGGACTATCTGTAAATAGAACAAATACGGGAGAAGTAGCATTATATGTCACATATTGCCCCCTGCACAAAAATTCAAGCAAATAAAACTAAGTGAAGAAAGAAAATCAGATGGCGATCTAAAGATTGGCATTTTCAAGAGCAAAAGTGGATGATGTTTTTCTGACGTTACATCCCTTACCGGAAAACAAAAACTAATAATAATAATAATGAGTTCAACTATCTGATATCTCTAAGTGGGTTTACCGTAAGTTACACTACAATGAGCTTCACTTGAACATAAAATGGAATATATTGATACTAACAGTCCTTCACAATGCCATGAATGACCCACTGGAACAAGCCTGCTCTCTTTTGGAGGCTTTTAAGCAAATTTGTCGAGGTTACTTGCCTATATTCTGAAATTCTGGCAGTGAAGTCAGAGACTAGCTTAAAGAGTTTACAACCCTCTGCTCACTTTTAGATTATATATACACATTCTGGACATTATCCTGAAACATTTTGTAGCACTTCATATAAATAGACTTCATAAATGATTTATGGGGAGGGTCTTACCTCTGTGCTATCCTCAAGTCCCATATGATGCAACGCAGGTAATCTTCGACCTGAAACCATAACAGCCCAAAATTTCCATTGGTTAAGCAAGACAGTGGTTAGGAGAGTTTTGCGCCATTTTGCCACTTTTCTTGCCATAGTTGTTAAGTAAATAACTGTAAGTTGTTAAGTTAGTAACAAGGGTTGTTAAGTGAATCTGGCTTCCTTGTCAGAAGCTCACATGACCCCAGGACCGTCATAAATATAGTCCGAATTTTGATCACATGACCATGGGGAAGCTGCAACAATCGTTAAGTGTGAATAAACAGTCATTAAGTCCCTTTTTTCCAGTGCCACTGTAACTTTGAACGGCCACTAAACAAATAGTTTCAAGTCAAGGACTGTCTGTACAAACAGTAAGAGGTATTTAGCTTCCTCTCTCTTCACTCCAGTAGAAGATTCCATGATATTCTTAAGCATCTGTTGTTCCCTCTGTGCTTTCAGCTCTGGGTTTCTTCAGGGTGATCAGATATATGAAAGTAGTTACTGTGGCTTTAATCATGCGGCAGTGTGTCTCATCCTTTGCGACCACACAACTACCACCCTTGTGCTGATTTCATTTGTGTCAACATTGTGCAAATTGCTTACATTACCACACACATTTCCTTGTACCCTTTGGCCAATTTAGTTTAAGTTGAAGACAGGTTGTTGTACATGAACACAGTTTAGGGGCCACTTTTACGGTGCCCAGTGTCCAGTGTCATCTCCAAAGCTCATGGAATAAAATGTTGTTTAATGAACCAATTACACAAAGTGGCTTCCTTGAGTCTTTTTTATTTATTGATTTCCCCTTTTCCTCTCCCTTCATCAAACATAAGCCATTTTATTTCCTTTTTCTTCTAGAGGAAAAAAATATACCAGCTGCATGTTACAGGAGGAAACAGTATGGAGATGAATCATTCTCCCTAAGAGGTGTGGAGCGGACTTGTGCAATTGTAGGTGGGTCTTGGAATGACCTGTTTAGCTACTAATCAATCAGCTTTCTTCTGAAATAGTGTGAAACTTTTGTCCAAAAATAGGCTAACTGGCAGGTGATCCTGAAGGGGCAGTTTGTTCGCTTCCTCTGTTGCATAGCAATATCCCCGCCAGGCCTGCTCAGCCTAATTGCTGCGGGTAAGGGTGACGTTTCCTCAAACTGGTGGTTCTGGAGAACTTCAACCTACCTTTCCTAGGTAAGGAGTCTAGAGCAGTGGTTCTCAACCTGTGGGTCGGGACCCCATTTGGGGTCGAACGACCATTTCACGGGGGTCGCCAAACAAGGCTGTCCACCATTTTTCCCCCTTTTCTTTGGCCACACCCCTGGCACTCGGTGATGTATAAGTGGTTGAGGGTCACTACAACATGGGGAACTGTATTATGGGGTCGCGGCATTAGAAAGGTTGAGAACCAGTGGTCTAGAGTGACTCAAGAGTTCATGACCATGGACCTGACCCGATTTATTGAGAGCCTAACATACATAAGGGATCACACCTTGCATCTTATCGATGTTTCAGGACAGATACAAAAAGAACTGAAAGTGAAGAGCATCAAAGTTAGCCTCTCCCCTTTCAAAGATCCACCACATTCAAGGAGATGAAGATACTTAGAATGTCACTGTAGGACAGTGATTCTCAACCTTTCTAATGCCGTGACCCCATAATACAGTTCCCCATGTTGTGGTGACCCCCAAGTGGGTGTGGCCACCAATAAGAGGGAGTAGGACAGCTAGGGAAAAGGGAAAAAATGGCGGACAGCATGGTTTGGTGACCCCCGTGAAATGGTCATTCGACCCCAAATGGGGTCCCGACCCACAGGTTGAGAACCACTGCTGTAGGAAGACACATCTCAAGCTTGACCAGATATCGGAAAGAGTTCAAGTTCAACCCTACACAGTGGTGGGAAGTTTATGTTTTGCCATATATTATTTGCCATAGATATTGCATAAAAAGTAGAGCAGGAAGCTATTCTGAAATATATGACTATTTATCGGAACAGAATGGAAAATGGCAAATGCCTCAGTAGAAATTGATAGATAGTTAATTGTTTATTTTGAACAACAAATAAACCTCTGTGATTGAAACAACAATGACACTTAAATTATGGTTATTGTATGATATTCTAACTTTTGTTTGCAAAATAATATGATGTGACAAGGATCAAGAATTACCAAGCTGAGGAAGAACAAAATGGAAATATAAGTAAGGGACAAGGATTATTACTATCATACCAAATTTCATTATTTCCAATGTAGGATAGAGATAGTGCTCTCTCTTGCAACTGAAACTAAAGTGGTCTCTATCACACTTTGAACCAACAAAAAGCCACAGCGACATATAATTTACAGCTCCCCACATTTTTAAACCCACAGGGACAATGCCAACAAATGGTAGATTCTTATTTATGGTGTGCATGTTAAAGGCAGAGGTTTATAAATTGTCCCGGTTGCTCCCTCTTCTTTCACCAAATGTCACCAGCAATCACTTATCTTAAAATGAGATGGGGTATGGGTAAGAAACAGGCTTTGACAGATATCCAGATTAGCAAATTGAACCATCTTCCAAAATTCACCCTGGTTTTGTACAAATATTTTTATGGGATAAGTTCAAAAGGAGCCTGATCATCTGTTAAGTTCAACTAATAGTTGGCATTCCATCTAGCACAGATTTAGTACTATTCCAATGAAGTGCCTGTGTTGAACAATAGCTAATAAATGCCTAGAAAATAGATAGTGGGATGTGTCCCCCAAAACCTAAAAGGTATGCTGAACTGATGATTAGAG